CATAAGGCTATAATGTTAAAGGTGAGTTGTGTAAATTTTCTGGTGGAGGTTCCATCACCTGGGTGTCTCCAAAGAGAAGTTATTGCTTTTCCTAGAATGTTTCACAGTCTGGTATTTCATTTCTTTAATAACCATGGGGACAACCATCAGGCCAATTTTTTACAGGTCTGATCTGTGGAGAGGTGACCCAAACTTAAAATAATAATGGGTTTTTCATCTTTAATTACATTTAATCACATACTGTTGAATGTTTCAGGGAAAAAAATAACTTTTCCATTGAGACAAGATGGTAGCGGACCCCGCACCTGGAAAGTTTAAGAAGGGGGACCGAAGGGTGTGTTCCAACTACAGGAGAATCACACTCCTCAGCCTCCCTGGTAAGGTCTATTCCAGGATACTGGAGAGGAGAATCCGACCAATAGTCGAACCTCAGATTCATTAGGAGCAGTATGGTTTTCATCTAGGTCATAGAGCATTGGACCAGGTCTTTACTCTCCATATGGTCCTCAAAGGTTCATGGGAGTTTGCCCAACCAGACCACATGTCCTTTAGGGATCTTGAAAAGGACCGGCGGAGCGGTGTTCGCATTGCTGGCAGTAAGTTAGACCTGTTCAAGTGTAGGTTGGACTCCGCCAGGGCTGCCCTTTGTCGGCGATTTTGGTAATTGTTTTTATGTAAAGAATTTCTAGGCACAGTCAGGGGCTGGAGAGGGTCCGGTTTGGGGACCATGGGATCTCATCTCTGCTCTTTGCAGTTGATGTTGTCCTAATGACTCCATCAAACCTGGCCCTGCAGCATGTGCTGGCACAGTTTGCAGTCGAGTGTGAAGCGGCTGGGATGAAGATCTACTCCTCCAAATCCAAGGCCATGGTTCTCGACTGGAAAAAGGTGGCTTGCCCTCTCTGGGTGGGTGGAGAGTCCCTGCCTCAAGTGGAGCAGTTCAATATTTCAGGGTCATGTTCACGAGTGAGGGAAGAATGGAGCATGAGATTGACAGGCAGATCGGTGCAGCGTCGGCAGTGATGTGGTCGCTGTATCGGACCATTATAGTGAAGAGAGAGCTGAGTTGAAAGGCAAAGCTCTCAGTTTACTGGTCATTCTATGTTCCTACCCTCACCTACAGTCAGGAGCTTTGGGTAATGACCAAAAGGAGAAAATCACGGATACAAGTGGCCGAAATGAGTATCCGCAGGGTAGCTGGGTGCTCCATTAGAGATAGGGTGAGGAGCACGGCTACACGGGAGGAGCATGGAGTAGAGTCGCTGCTCCTCCACGTTGAGAGGAGCCAGCTGAGGTGGATTAGGAGGCCCCGGGGAAGACCTAGGACACGCTAGCCTGGGAACGCCTCGGGGTCCCTGGAGGAGCTGGAGGAAGTGTCCAGGGTGAAGGAAGTATGGAAGTCCCTGTCTAGACTGCTGCCCCTGTGACCCGGCCCCGGATAAGTGGAAGAAAATGGATGGAAGTTCCTAGTTTGTAAATTTTGCTCATTGACAATGGCAATAAAACTTCTAAAATCTGATTCTGATTTTAATTCTACACCCACATTTTATAATACTATTTGTAATGTCCAATAAATGTCCAATAAAGATAATAGTCAAATCTCATTATCTTTATTGACATAATAAAAATACGCATATTATTGCCATGGTCTACTTTGTTTTAGTGATTTATTAAGCTAATGATCAGATGTTAGTCTGTGAAATGTTCTTAAGTTTCTATCTATAAAATATAGGCCAATAACATTTTTGCTTCTGAATACAATTGGAAAAAAAAAAAAGTAGTTTTTAATATTCAACAAAATTGCAGGATTGGCAGTCTATTTGTGGTATAATACAGTTACAGTTGAAATGGGCTAAAAAAAAAAAAAAAAATCTTATCTGAATTTTAAAAAAATTGCTGTGTATCTATGTGTTTTAAAGGTGCACTGTGTAACTTTATGGTTGGTGGGTCCGTTTCTATGGATATGTCATTGCTCTGCTTGGAATGTTCCACAGTATGACTGTTACGGCCCCAGGCCTTGGTTCTAATTTGTGTGATTTTTGCCAAGTTCTCCTGATTCCTGCTGCAGGAGCCCTGGTCCGTGATTGGTGGGGCAAGTCTACTCCCACCTCACCTGCAGCCACTGCCCCCTATTTAAGGAGATTGGCAGCACCTGTTCGGGGCTGCTGGCCTTGGTGGCCAGTATGCCATTTAGTGTTTGTTTGTGTGTTTAGTTTAGTTCTGTTTTGTGCCTTTTTTGATATGGTCACTTGATTCTGTTTGTGGGTTTATGTGGTTTAATTTGGGGAACTTGTGTTTTGGTTTAGTGTGTGTCCCTAAGTTTTACCACTCGTTTTTGTGTAAGCCTGCATGACCCCTTTTCTGGCACAAAACTCTGTTTATTCTGTTGTTCTGTTTCTTAGTTTAGGTTGTTTTCTGTATATTTTAGTCTGTTTTGTTAATTTACCTTTACATTCCTGTTAATTAAACATTATTTAATTTATTCCATTTTACATCTTGGTTTTATTTTTTTGTTACTTCCCTCATCCCAAACGAGCTGGGTCGTAACAATGACATTAAACAGCTCTAACTTATATTTATTGCAATACATGTGGTTTAATAGCTCAAAAATATCTAGAGCATGGCCTGGTTTTGATTCCATGAAAATAGAAACGTTTAATACCATACTGTGAAGCATTCAAAACAAAACAATAACGTCTCCATGGAGAAATGTATTTGACAGACCCTCCATCAGAAAAGTTACACACTGCCCCTCCTTGTATATAGTAATTAAAAATTAAAAACAAACTATTACATCTTTTAAAAGGTGAAAAGTGTTCAAAATGGCATGTATAAACAGGAAGCTGAAACTCATTTATAAAAGTCAATTGAGGAACAGACTCGTGGTTGTATTTAAATAAAACACACTGTTCCTATAATCTCTCCATGTTTCAAGTTTTATTGGGGGGTTGATGTAACCTACCTAATTACAGCCCGCCTTCAGCTTGGATCCATAAAGGGAGTCCTCGAGCATCAAAGCACTTCTCTGTCTGGAAATAATAAGCAACAGTCCTTAAAATTGTATATAATGCAAAAGCAGAGGTGGGCTTATTCTGTGTGAACAAACTAAATGATTAGAAGCAACATCTGCAGCCCGCATTAAGATGAGTAAAATTTAAAACAACCTTAAACCATAAGAACTTTAGTGTTAGAATCTATTCAAAGTTATTACTACATTTGTAATTACATTATTGAGTGTTTGTGTGATTAGGCTGATGATTAACTCAAATTGGTGGGATAGTTAAAGGCATAGTGTGTAACTTTTCTAGTGGAGGGCCCATCACCTGCTTGCTTTAATGGATAGACCTGTCACAATAATTAATATGCTCACCTAGCTGAAACAATATATTCTGGGGATCAATATTTAACATGTGTACATTTTCTTAATAAAATTGGAGAGAAAATGTGGTATTTTTGTTGTAATACAATTAGATATGAGCTGTAAAAGGTTGATTAAGTGATTCCTGTGGCTAATTATTATATTATTTGGTATGGCTCAGGCCTGTTGATGAAACTGTCTATTTAAAAATGGTTTCCTGGGATTATCTCGCTATATTGTCATGGTTTCAGTGATAAAGGGTAGGTTCAATATTATTGTTTATCTCAGTATATCTCTGTATCAATGTGTCAAGCTTCAAAATGCATTATTGTGACAGGCCTATTCATGGAAATGTTAATACTTCGGTCATAAAGTTCCACAGTATTAAACTGCCTATCTAATAATCCACCTTTTAAGTGATTTGGACAGTAAAAACTACAATAATGCAGAGGATATACTAAAATATATTTTAAACATTAATTTAAAAAATGAAAGTGAATTAAACAATATAGTTTGTGGAAAATATATTATTTTATTTAAGTTCAGTTTTAAGATTCAAAAAACGTGTGTGCCATTGGAATTTTCGACCAAGGCTCTAAGGGGTTCAAGTAAAGATCGATAAAACTGCATTAAAGAAAACCTGCATTCAGAAAAATACTGAACTACCACAGTAAATACATAATTTGAATCAGCCTAGCAGGAGTGTATTTAAAACCATACCACTATTAATAATGAATATGATGAGATAGCATAATAAAAAGTGCATTACATTTATGTCAGATGCCCTTCCAAACACAATTAATCATCTGTATTTGCTAGTCATTTCCTAAATAGAAGAATTGCCTATTTTTTGTTGCCATGTAGAGAGGAGAGAAGGACTAACCCAGAAAAAAAACATAAATAAAGAAACTGGGACTAAACCAGGTCCATTCAAGAACAATTTTACTAAAACCTCAAACATATATTAAAGTTCTCAAATTTACTCTTGTGAGTTTTAAACCATGTTATAATATTGTTACCACACTAAAAACATACAGGGAGTTATTTTTCTTTTCGTTCACACACGTTGAGTAACTCTTTATTAATAACTGTCTACATCTCCAAAGTTCAAAATACTGTGTTCCACTTTGTGATGTCATGAAGCGGCAATTTTCATGTTAACGGCTCCCTTTTACCTTTTGCCTAGAAGACATTGGCAGTTCCAGGGCTGCAATTATCCAAATAATTCTAGTGTAGGTGTGTGGAGTTTAAAACCACAATGGAGCACTTTATGTATTACCGCATGACATCACAAGGTGGAAGAGAGTGTTTTCTGTTTGAAAGAAGAAACTCAGCCTAAATATACAGGGTGTGTGTGTGTGTGTAATGTATGTAAATGTAACAAAGCACAACTGCAGGTATGTTTTTGATGGGAAAACATTATAACATAGATGAGAAAATAGAGTAATATGGGCCCTTTAATATGTTTGTGCATTGTCCTTGATAAATGAATTCAAGTCAGAAAATATTGTCAAACAAAGTAGTGCAAACCATAATGGACCACCTCAGTAGCTTATTTAAATCCTCCCCTCTCTGCCCAGCGCCCCCCAGCCCCCCTCTCTCCCATCTCTCTAATAACAGTCCGTATCCACTATCACTTTTGTACCTCCATAGCTCCTCTCCGCTCCACCTCCTTTAACTCGCTCTCTCTCTGCTACTGCTCCGTACAGAAATGCAGCCAAGCTTGATCTGACTTGTCCTGCCTACAACCTACAACTTACTCAACCAACTCATTTTGCGCCGTTTTCTCCGCGTATTCCGGTACTTTCTGTTCTGCAAACGCGTTGACATGGCCATTTTTGTATCGCCACAGTGTCTGGGAATGATTATACTCGGGGCCGTGCTTATTCAAACCATCGCCGTTTCTGTCAGTTTCATGTACTTCAACCAAGTCCTTAGCACGGTAAGATACGCGCTCTAATCACGTGGTAGACCGTTGTTACTGGGTTAAACTTTAGTGGGAATTGCACCAACAGCCATGGCACGGTTTCCTTTCCTGTTATTACTTCTCTATAGTGACATAAAGTGGTGCTGGCATTGCTAAAGCCATTTCTTTAACTGGGTAATTTGATTCAATGTAGATGCGTAATACAATGAAATGATTCGTGCCATACGATTCACACTGCACGCCTGTACCAAATTTACGGTTAAATTTCAAATAGAAAACTATTATTTAGGCATTATTACATGAAAAAACATCATTTTTTGTTAAGAATACCTTGATTGGATGATCGTACCGCTGCGTAAACTTCCGAGTGAGTAAATGGCACGTGTCTGTATTTTAAGTTTATGTTATATTGTTTTGTTTGCACTTTTCTTGTTGACAGATGAAGGAAAGTTTTTCTAGGAGCAGCGTGTCTTGTTTGATGAACTCAAATCCACCCTCTGGGCTTCAGGACAGCACCGCCGAGGGGAAGAAGAGCGACCCCTGCTGGCAAGTCACACAACAGCTCCAATCCCACATAGAGAAGGTCCATTTTCTATTGCCTTCTGTTGATGTTTAATTTTAGTTTGGTTGGCTATAAGGTTAATGGGAGGTCATTTAAAGGTACACTATGTGACTTTCTGTGAGGATGCACCATCGACTGTCTCCATGGAGATGTTCATGATTGTCTGAAATGTTCCACAGTATGGTCAAAAATGTATCAATAAGCATCTCTCATCAAGTTACGGGTGAGAGCTGTGGAAAGGTGATCAAACTCACAATAAGAATGCATGTTTATTAAGGAATTTCTGAGGAAAAAATAGGAGGGACAGATATGTGCAATGTCATTCTGTGAAATATTCCAGGCAGAGCAATAATTTCTCCATGGAGAGCAGCTGGTAGCAGACTCCTTACCGGAAATGTTACATTGCAACTTTAATGCAAGCAATACACTGGCTTTGAAATACTTTTTCTGGAAGTAATTGTGGAAATTTATAATGCACAACAACCTAAAATATGTACTTTTGTCTTCAGGCAATGGAGGACAAATTTCAAAATGAGATCTCCAAAACTATGAAAAGTAAGTCCATATTGCTCACCTACTTAAATATGACATAATTTCATTCATCAAATATTACATACTTTTTTCTGTTCCAGATGAGTTGACGGCCGTGTTGCCGTTGTTGGGTCCTGCGATTCGAGGAGTTCCTCTCCCCAAGGTGGCCGCTCACGTGACTGGAGTCGCATCGTCCAATGAGAACTCTGCAACAGAAGGTGAGGGCCATGGGTTAGAATGTGTGCACAGTATTTACAACTTTCTCATAATCACAGAATAATATTAGAAAGATTTATCAATTTATATAAACAATTTAGGTTTAAAACTCAATTGAGGACTTTTATTGTTGTTTTGATTCCACCTTGGTTTCAGTCACAGTAGTGCATATGTAAACATGATTGTATTGTTGGTTGAATATTACTACTTGTGTTTTATCAGCATTGCTTTTCTGGTGGGGGGGGCTTCACCTGCTTGTTTCCAAGAAGATGTCATTGCTCTGCCTGGAATGTTCCACAGTATAGCATTAAACTTATATATCTTTCGTGCATTCGGTTACAGGTGTTTTCATTGCTCAAAAATACCTCAAAAAACATGCATTCTTACTGTGAGTGGGATGACCTCTTCACAGATATAACCTGTAACTAGGTAACTAGGTCTTCATTGAAATAGATAAGTTTAATGCCATACTGTGAAACATTCCAGACAAAGCAATAACATCCCCATAGAGGCAAGCAGGCGGTGGACACTTTACTAGAAAAGCTACACAGTGTGCCTTTTAAATAGCCTTATAATCATGCTTTATTATCATTGAGAAATGGAAAACTGCCAAAAGGGAGAGGAGTGATCATTGACTTCCGATCTGTCACAAAGCCATCTTTAAGTTTGTGCGTTTCTCGTCCGGGCCCCGAGGACTTCTGAGGGCAGAGAGGGAGGAATGTGCTGCAGGCGACTCCCTGTTTAATCCTCATACCTGCGTCCATCAAACCAGAGCTGTGTGTCCCTTTGTGAGACTGACACTGCCCCGTTTCCTGAAGCCATTGTTTACATGATTACTCATTACGGGCTCAACTGAAAGACTCAATTGAAGGTGTTTATTTTGGCAGCGGTTTGTTTGTAGTAACACGAAAGACAAAGTCCACTATGATCTACTGTGAGGATACTTGCCTACACAGGGAAATATTAAAGGTCCTATATTACACAGAATATTAGTTAGAATGTTACCTTGTTGTTACCTCATCATAAACATACCCAGAGCTGTGTTTTGTGTCATTCACACATGTTTCAGTAAACCTATATTATTAGTCTGAGCGCATCTCGAAAGCTCAAAATGATCTGTTCCACCTT